TAACCACTTGCTGGGCAGGCAAGTTGACTGAAAAAAGAAAAGTATAGCATTGGTCCGTAAGTAGCGACTGATGACAGTCAGAGAGACGGAAGAAAGGGAAAAAGAGGGCTTCAAAGGTTGAGAACTGAAGCAATTGATGTGGAGACCTCTAGGGGAAAGAAGGTAGGGGAAATGGAGACCCAAGGCTGTGAGGAAAAAAGAAGTAAGACATATGAAAACGTTTATGCATCTTGAAAACGATGGGGAGAAGTCACCACAGTTTGTCCTCCGTGGGACACTGCACTTACAGGTGACAGCAGTGAGGTGGGAAAGATGCTCAGAAATATTCAGTGCTTGTGCACTTATGAGCAAGCGCCTTCTGGGAGCAGGCGGCAGAGGCTGTGGGAAGAGGGGAGTCCCTCTTTTCTCTGGGGAAGCTCGCCTGTGCTTGCTTCCTCTTAGCGCCATCCTTCCCCTGCACGGAGCCCCTTCCTTCCCCGCGAGGTGGAAATGACGAGTAGGGGCGTCCAGCTCTACTATCGCAGGGTAGCTGCACCTCCTCAGGCTCCCATCTTTCCATTTCCTCTCCTCCCTTCTCAGGGCTAAATCACACTTTCTTCCAGGACTCAGCTTAAAGGTCTCTTCCTCCAGGAAGACTTCCCTGACTCTCCAACCTTCAAGAGTTGGGGCTTCTCCTGTGGCCCCCAGTGGTTCCCTCAGGGCCTGTCACGCTGGGTGCAAATGGCCCTGAATGACTCCTGCCCCCCTTGATTGAGAGCCCCTGGGACCGTGGGCTGTGTCTTACATTTCAGGGTATCCCCCAGTTCCCAGCTCAGGGCCTGCTGCCCCATAGACACTCAGCAAACCTAGTGAAGAAGGGGAGGCTGGGGGGCCAGGGGCCTTCCCCGCTGTGGGTGACAGCTCTCAGAGTATCGCCCTTCCCTGGGACTCCCGCGTTGTTGCGAAGGCCTGCTTCGGGCAGGGTGAGGCGGCGCTGGGAGATGGGTGGTGTTTCCAGTGCCGGCAGCTGGTGCAGGGAAAAGGATTAGGGGAGGAGGGAGGGGATGAACAGGCTGAAATTGTAACCTTTGGGGGTATGTTCCCACCTGTATCTATCTACAGTCTTCACCAAAAACTCCAGACATGAGTGAGGGAAGAAAGGAGTAGGAAGAGGAGGCCAAAGGAGCAGTAGGGATTTCCCCTCACCAGCCCACCTACCACAAGCATCATCTGGAAAACAAGGAACAACGGGCCGCCATTCTCTTCTGCTGAGGGTCTGGGTCCATTCATTCCACGAATGTTTACTGAGCACCTGCTGTGGGCCAGGTGTTGTTCTAGGTGCTGGGAAGATAGCAAGGAAGAGAATGTGGTGCTTATATTTTGGGGGTGGGGGAGGTAACTATATATAGTAAGTCAGGCAATAATGTGTTAAGGAAAAAACAAGGCAGGGTGAGTGGGTCAGAGAGGGAGGGGGAGGGGCTGCTTGCCCTAAGTTGGTGGGGTGGGGAAGGCCTCTCTGATGGCTTTTGAGCAGACACCTGAAAGAAACGAGAGAGGAAGCCAGCGGACACCTGGAGTAAGAACATTCCAGGCTGAAGGGACCCGTGCCAAGGTCCTGAGGCTGGAGTGTGCGGAGTGTGTAAGAGGAGCCGCCAGGAGGCTGGAGCTGGAGCAAGGAAGAGGGGACAGAGTGGTTAGAAAGGAGGTGGGAGGGACGACAGGGGCCTGGGTCGCTGAGCACCCAACATTACGCGGTGAGGACTGGGGATTTTCCCCTCAGGGTGTTGGGGAGCCCCACAGGACATGAGTAACAGAGTAGAGGAGGAACGTGCCATGGTTTAGGTTTCAGCGGGACCCCTCTAGCTGCTGGGTGGAGGACTGACTGCAGCCCAGACAAGGGAGGTGTCGGGGAGGCCAGGTAGGACGCAGCTACTGCAGCAGCCTGGGCACAAAAGACAGTGCGGCCCAGGCGGCCCAGGCGGCCCAGGGAGCTGATCAGTGGTGGGATCTGAATGCAACTGAAGGGGGCGCTAGTAGGGTTTGTTGAGGGGTTGGATAAAGTCTGAGAGAGAGAACCCAAGGGTGATTCCTGGGTCTTTGACTTGAGCAACTGGAGGGGCGGAGGTGGGAAAGAAGGGAGAGTCAGGCAGGTTTATGGGAGAAAACCACGAGTATTGATTGGGACGTGTTCTGAGATGGCTACTGGGCATGTGTATTAGTTATCAACTGCTTTGTAACAAATTACCCCAAAATGTTGCAGCTTAAGAGAACATACAGTTTTGTCACAGTTTCTGTGGGTCCAGGACCCAGGCACGGCTGGCACAGGTCCTCTGATCCAGGGTTTCTCACTGGCAGTAAAGGTGTCTGGCCAGGGTTGTGGCCACCTCCAGACTCGACTCGGGGAGGATCTGCTTCCAAGCTCACTGATGAGGCAGTTAGTAGGATCCAGGTCCTCAGGGACTGTTGGCTGAGATGTCACTTCCTGGCCATGTCGGCCTCTCCATCAAGATGCTCCCAGTGTGGCAGCTGCTTTCCCATGGAGAGAGTGAGCAACACTGAGGTCGCTGTGGTTTTGTAACCTAATCTTACATCCTATCACTCTGCTGTGTTTGATTTGTTAGAAGAGGGTCACTAGTCCAGCCCACATTCAAGGGGAGGTGACAAATGTGAATATCAGTTGGCAGGGACCTTTGGGAACCATGTAGAGGCATCTGCCACAGCAAGGAGGCAATTGGACCAACAAGTGCAGATTTCAGGGAGAGTTCCAGACCCGATATGTCCCTGGAGGGGTTATCCGAGATGGGCCTGGGCGAGGAAAGCTGGCAGTGACTGAAATGGAGAAGAGCAGGGGACCAAAGACTGATCCTGGGAGTTCGCCAGTGCTTGGAGGTCATGAGATGCAGAGGAGATGGAGGAGGAGGAGGAGGGCCAGTGAGGTAGGTGGTGAGCAGAGAGTGGTGGCCCTGGTGTCCCACAGACCTGCTGGTAGGACAGGGAGGGATCAGCTGGTCAGAAGCCATGGAGCAGTCTGGCAAGAGAAGCCTGAGCTTGGGATTGGGCAGTGCAGAGATCACCTTTACAAGAGCAGTCTCAGTGCAGCAGAGGGGGTTCTAGAGAGCATGGGAGGCCAAGAAGTGGATGTGGACACGACACTTGAGGGGGCATACAGCCTTGGGTCTGAGGGCCTTAAGCTTTTGAACACCAGGTTAACTCTTAGGTGAGCCAAGTCTTGGAACTCTGCTCTCCCTCTACCTCTTCCACTCACAGGGCTCCAGTCTTCCAGACTCCCTGCTGCCACCTCATCTGGGATGGGGGATTAGAACCCTGAAGTTAGCCTGTTTTATTTTTTGTTTCTGGTACCAGCAAGTCACAATCAATCAAGGCAACCCTGTGAAGCTAGGGCGGGGTCACACATCATTAGTCTTCCATCATCAGCTTGAATCTCCCTAGATCCCCAATCTGCCACCCCTAGAGGATCTGGTTTAGAAGGATATCAGCGCTAAGAAAAGCTTGTTGCTGACTGCCATCTGGTGGTCATTTTGGGGAACTGACCTGGATCCAAATCTATTCCTCAGAGGGTGTGTGGGAAGAATTGAGGGAATGGTTAGAAGAGTACCTGGTGTGGATTGTGTTCAGTACAAGTGGGCTATGTCATTATGCTCATGGTTTGGAGGAGCGTGGTCAAAACAGTGTCCTTTGACATCACTCCCAACTTTTTGATAGAAAAGAAATATCCTAAAAGGAGGTCCCTCTTCTTACCTTGGTCAAAGTAAAAGTTCTTCGGGGAGAGGGGTGTAGCTCCGTGGTAGAGCGTATTCTTAGCATGCACGAGGTCATGGGTTCAGTCTCCAGTACCTCCCTTTAAAAAAATGTGTCAGGGAACCAAGTAGTTCATTCACATATTAAGTTAGATGATCTAGATTCAAATCCTGATTTTGCTACTATATGATCTTGATCACATCACTTAAGCATTCCGAGTCTCAGTTTCATCAAACCATGAAATGGGAACATTAGGATGAAAACTATACAAGGTGGTGAATATAAAGAACTCTCAGTAAAAGATGCTCTCCATTAGTTAGTACTGGCATTCTGGCTCTCAGTGCTGGGGGTGTATTGTTTTAAAATAGTGGTTCTCAACAGGGAGTAATTTTGCTCCCCACCCCTCAGAGGACTTTTGGCAATGTCTGGGGATATTTTTGTTTCTAACAAGGCTGGAAGGATGCTACTGGCATCTAGTATGTAGAGGCCAGGGATGCTGCTAAACATCCTACTGTGCACAGGACAGCCCCCTATGAGGCAGGATTTTCCAGTCCGAAATGTCACTAGTGCTTAACCTGAGAAATCTTGGAGCTTTCTTAAATGAGGATTCTTCTTGCCATTTTATGAACCAACATGAGGAACTGCTTTCCAAAAAGTACGAGGGAAGCATAGTGGTGTGTGAAGCTGGAAAAGAGCTCTGTGGTTATAGGCAGAAGTAAAATAAGGCTGCAGATTATCCAGTATGATAGCCACAAGGCAGCCGCATATGGCTATTGAAACTGGAATTAATTAGAATGTAATAAAATTTTAAAATTTGATTCCTGGGTTGTAATAGCCACATCTCGAGTGCTCACGTGGTGAGTGGACAACACAGATGTAAACAGTTCCATCAGCACAGAAGCTTCTATCAGCATGGCTCATAAGGGATTTGGCAGAACCAAGCATCGGTGTAGCAATCCACAAAAGAAAAATTAGAAACTGAAGATGTTGCAGAGAAGAGGGTACCATGAGAAACAACAGCATACACCAATGAGATGGTTAAGTAAGCACAAAAGCAATCTATAATTAAATGCTAAAACAAGTCACACACACATATGCACAATAATTGATCCATGCAATCCTTCCTCCCCCAAGAGTTGTTCTTAAGTGCATAAAACTCGAGCACCCCGAAAAGACAAGCAGAATCAAAAGAAGTCAGGGAGGGAGAGGGGAGCCATCACTGGGGAGTGCTGTCCCTCTCTCTCCCTTCTTCTTGGCACAGTTCAGTTTAACTTGCGGTGCAAGGACCTCAGCCCGACAGGTGGCCATGAGTCAACTGTACTGATGGAGGAGTGTCTGTGCCAGCCTAACTTGCTTAAAATCTTGAGGTCCTTGTAAAGGGCATATGCGTGCTTGGTGACAAAGGGCAGACAGAACAAGTGCAGGAGCATCCGGGAGATTTGGAAGAGCCAGTGCAGGTACCTCAGCTCAATGAACTGCTCTTTGATGGTCCAGTTGGTGATGAGGACCATGGAGAAGCTGGTGAGCTCATAGGTGATGATCCACACAGTGTAGACAATCAGCCCCTTGTAGTTGCTCGTGTGGATGCAGTAGAGGAGTAAGGAGCTGACCACAATAGTGATGGTGGACAGGCAGATGCTGACATTCTTCTTGTGGCTCGTGGCCCAAGAGACCAGATTAGAACTTGTCTCCTTGTAGATGCTGAACTTGTCCTTGGAGCCAATGAATGCAACCTGGTTCACCTCAAAGATGAGTAACTGGATGGTGTTGAGGAAAGTGAAGATGCCCAGCATGAAGGAAAACTTCTTGTTGTTCATTTTATACATATTCACCAGAGCATCTGCTGCAGAAAAAAAAAATCACAGAGATACATGACAAGATGGCAGAGGTAGCCCTAGACAAATTCTTCAAACCACTGGTTGTAAATGGGAGAGCTAAGAGTAATCATGGAATATGGACAGGCAGTGGGTTGGAAGTCAAGGGACCTGGGCTCTGGTTCCTGCTCTGGCCTCCCTAGCACAGGTGATCACATCATTGGGAAGTGAGGGCGTCACTGACCTGGGACACAGATTTTTTTCTTTTTTTTTTGGAAACCAGACATTTTATGTACTATGTTGTAGAAACTCTGAGTACGAGGATACCCCCAACCCTCTACCAGGCTTGTTATTGTTATTTGCTTGTTCACTTAATTAGGGACTGGCTGGATTATTTTTGTAAGTGATGTTCTCCTCCCCCGCCCTCCCCATAACACCTCGGTGGGAAGCCTCAGATGTTGCCTCTCAGGGAGGAGCTGTTTAACACATGCCCGTAGTCACTCTAGGGTAACAGTGGTTTTTGCCAGAGCTCTCCTCCCTTCTTCTTTGACCACACCCCAGCTGTAAAGTTCTACTAATTGTTCGATTGTTTCCAGTAATGACCTGGGGCATCAATTGCTCTGCAGATTATCCGATCAAGTCCAGGCTCCTTTGAAGGAACAGTTTTGGAAGTCAGTGTTCCATGTTTGTTCTGACCCCAAGAGGGCTTCTTCCAACTGTTTCTTTCCCGAGTTCTCTCCTGAAAACTAGCTAGCCTACAGGTTAGCCTGAATCTTCATTTGTGATCTACACATCTCCTCTCAGTTGCCTGTTGCCCCAGCCTTCACAATTTTTTAGAGCACCTTTAGGCTTGAATTTCTCCATGCTCTGTTGTAAAGAAAACCAGTTCCTTTGGGCAGATACTGCAAGCTATCTGTTTTATGGCTTCTCCCCTGCCCCAGCCAAAACCTCTGATCCAGGCTCTGGAACTGTGGGTGAGAACAATTGTATGCTTCTGTCTTAGTGACACTCCTGCTTTAGGAGCTGAGTGCTCTGTGGGAAAGGGTAGACAGTAGTCTGAGGTCTTCTTGGTTTGCCTATCCTGTCATTGGAACGATGACTGTACAACCTAGGGCAAAGACAGTTGGGGCCCCAGCATTCCCAGTGGTGCCACAGCCGTCCCAGGAGTAGGGGCAACGCACCAGCAGGGAGCCCCCACCTCTCAGCCTCAGCAACAGGTTCCTGGGACAGGGGGTGAGAAATGCCAATGTCTGTCTCCTCCTGGGAAGAAAACCCTAACTGGAGGATGAGGGAGAGGGAGCCCTGTGTTCTTGGCCGCACCAGGCTGGAGTGGAGTTTTTGGTTGGCTGAGCTGGGGGAGGGGAGGAAGTGGTTTTGGTTCAGATACCACAGAATCTCACTTTTCTTAACAAATCATCATTGATTTTCCTGAATAGATGTTTCTTCATTTGCTGTACACCCTTAGGACCTTTTATAGATGGTATACAAGGGTGTGTGTTTTCATAATTTTTACCAGTTTCACTGGGGAGTAGGTCCACTGTCGTACAAGAAGCTGATCTCCCCATAATGTTTACTGACATATACTTGGCTTTTTCAAAAATACAAAGTATTGGGGGTTATAGCTCGGAGGTAGAGTGTGTGCTTAGCATGCACAAGATCCTGGGTTCAATCCCCAGTTCCTCCATTAAATAAATAAATCTGATTATTCCCCCCTAAAATAAAACAAACTTAAAAAGTACAAAGTATGTCCATTTACATGGAACTTAAAACAAATTTGGAGGGAGGAAGAAAGGGACGGCAAATGGGAGAAAATGTGTTTAATTTATCTGGGTGAGACTATTAGCATTTCATATTTTTTTTAATCCAAAAGAAAGCAAAGCCTCTTCACAATTTATTTGTTAATTATACCTCAATAAAGCTAGAACAACAACAACAAAAAAACCAACAGAGCAAAGCCTAAGGATTAAGGATCAGGGACCCCTGGTGGCTGTGATGTTTTGGTACATCATAAATACTTTGTGGAATATTGTCTTGTCTCCTTGTCACATACTAAAATCACATTCATTTTTCAAGACATACCAAGTTTAATCTCCTTACTGAAGTCATTTGTGACTACTGCAGCCCTGACTTCTTATGCAGACTTCTTTCCTCAATTCTCCTTTAAAAACTCCTATTGCAGTTATAGTTTTTAAAAATTCACATTAGCTTTTGCAAACAGAATATTATAAATTTCCCGTCTTTGAGAAGGAAAAATCTGAAATTAGAAATACAGCACTCCCTTTAAGAAGAGAATCAACTTCAATTAAGGAAAAGCCAGGAATCAGTTTCTTGTGCCTTTTATTAACTTGGGTTCACTGCAGTAAATGTTGTCTACTGCAAAACATGTACCTTGTCAGATAGCAAGCACCTGACTATCTCAGGTGGGCTGAAATCAAGCATCCTCATTTATGTTGCAATGTGCTATACTTTCTTGCTTCACTTGAGTTTTCAGTTACCTGAAGGTTTCTGATATCAATGGTCCAAGAAGATAAAAATCTATCAAAAGTATATTGAGCTGTCTTTATCTCTTTTAAAATGTAATTCCTAAACTCTGGTTTGCATGTGTTCGGTGTTTGTGAAACATATTTTAGGTTAATTGCAGGAAGTTATCAGACATGGCTGGTATAGAAGTTACAGTTCATAAATTGTTCCTGCTGTCAGTCACTTCTCCTTTGAGATATAAATGAACTTATGATGAGCTCACTAGTTTATATTTTTCTTTTTTCTATTCCCACCTTGGGCTGAGTCCCTTGTTTTACTACCAATAAAAACTCAACATGAACTTCTGATTCCATCCAAGATGGAGTCATAGAGACCAGATTTATTCTCCTACCTGGAAAAAAACAAAAATTCACAAAATATATGAAACACACTGGAAATCAGTCAGTGAAGGACATTGGTCTTCAAAGAAAGTGAGCCCTATGATTACTCCAGCTTAATGTCTTCTGAGAATTTTCAGGCTGAAGTGCAGGGAGGAGGAATCCAGGAGGAGCCCTGATTTCAAGAGGAGCGGAGAGTCTGAGGAGACTGAGGTTGCCGAAGTTCACAGGACAGAGTACCGGAGAGGAGAGAGATGCACAGAGAGCTAACTCTGGTGATCTGCAGAGAGTTCCCTGTGACTATTCAACCAAAATGATTAGGGGTAACAACTCTCCATCTGTTGCTTAGAGAGGGCCAGAAATACTGCTTTTCCTTACCAGCCAGACTAGAAAACCTCATGATTTATGGGGCATTATGTAGAACATCCAAAAGTCTTGTCCCAGTGGTGAATAATTAGCCCTAGACTGAGAATAACAAATAGTAGAGCAACACCTGAAAAGATAAAGCTGTTTCTAACTAACTTAACTGCATCCCAGAACGAACTCAAGAATATGTATAAGAATGCAAAATTACCCAGTATCCAACAAGGCAGAAATCACAATGCCTGGCATCAAAAAAAAAAAAAAAAAAAAAAAAAGGAGAAGGGAGAAGGAGAAAAGAAAAAAAATCAGACATGCAAAGAAGCAAAAACCATGACTTGTAATGAGGAGAAAATCAATCGAAAGCAATCCAGAGAGGTGAGGGTATAGCTCAGTGGCAGAGTGCTTGCTTAGCATGCATGAGGTCCTGGGTTCAATCCCCAGCACATCCATTAAAATAAAAAAATAAATTAAAAAACCTAATTACTCCCCCTCCAAATTAAAAATAAAAAAAAAGCAATCCAGAATTGACACAGATGTTCTAATGAGCAGACAAAGAAACTAAAACAATAGTAACTATATTACATATGCTCAAAAACTTAAGTAGACATGGGCAACATAAAAAAAACCCAAGGATTATACACCATGACCAAGTGGGATTTATTCTTGGAATGTAAAGATGGTTCAACATATGAAAATCAATCATTGTAATACACCACATTAACAGAATGAAGGGGAAAAAAAGCATGGTCATTGCAATTAATGCAGAAAAAGCTTTTGACAAAATTCAACACCCTTTTATGATAAAAACGTTCAGTCAACTAAAAATAGAAGACCACCTCAACATAATAAAGGGCATGTGTGAAAACCCCACAGATAACATCATACTCAATGGAGAAGGACTGAAAGCTTTTCCTCTAAAATCAGGAACAAGACAAAGATGCTTACTTTTGCCAGGTCTATTTAACATAGTACTGGAAGTCCTAGCCAGATCAATTAGGCAAGAAAAAGAAACAAAAGGTATCCAGACTGGACAAGATGAAGTAAAATGCTCTCTGTTCACAGGTGACATAATCTTACATGCAGAAAACCCTAAAGAGTCCATTAAAAAAAAGCCTGTTAGGACAAATAAAAAGTCAGCAAAGATGCAGGATACAAAGTGAACACATAAAAATTTGTTGTGTCTTTATACACTAAGAATGAACAATCCAAAAAGGAAATTAAGAAAACAAGTCTATACAATAGCATCAAAAAGAATAAAGTAGGGATAAACTTAACCAAGGAGGTGAATGACTACACTGAAAACTAGGAAACATTGCTCAAAGTACTTAAAGAAGACATAAATAAATGGAAAGACATCCTGTGTACATGGATGGGAAGACTTAATATTGTTAAGATGACAATACTACCTAAAGCGACCTACAGATTCAGTGTAATCCATATCAAAATCCCAACAGTATTTTCTTAAGAAATAGAAAAATAAATTACACCACACCAAAATGAAAAACTCCTGTGCATAAAAGAACAGATTAATAGAGTGAAAAGGGCAACCATAAAATAGAGGAAATATTTGCAAATCAAATATGTGAAAATCAGAATATATAAAGAACTTCTACAACTCAACGGTAACAACACAAATAACCTGATTTTAAAAACGGGCAAAGGACGTAAATAGACATTTCTCCAAAGAAGATATGTGAGGACCAATAAATGCATAAGAAGATGCTCAACATCACTAAATATCAGGGAACTGCAAATGAAAACCACAGTGAGACACCACCTCATACCCATTAGAATGGCTACTATCAAAAAGCCAAAATAATAAGTACTGAGGAGGATGTGGAGAAATTAGAACCTTCATGCACTGTTGGTGGGAACGTAAATAGTACCATTGTGGTGGAAAACAGTATGGAAGTTCCTGCAAAAGTTAAATATAGAATTATCATATTATTCAGCAACTCCACTCCTGAGTATATACCCCAAAGAATTGAAAGCAGAGATTTGAACAGATACTGGAACACCAATGTTCATAGCAGCACTGTTCACAAAAGCCGAGAGGTGGAAACAACCCAAATGCCCATCAATGAATGAATGGGTAAATAAAATGTGATATATACATACAATGGAATATTAGCCAGCCTTAAAAAGAAGGCAGTTCTGACCCATGCTACAATATAGATGAACTCTGAGGACGTTACGCTAAGTGAAATAAACCAAAAAGAGACAAATGCTGTTTGACTCTACTTATATGAGGTACCTAAAATAGCGAATTTATAAAGACATAAAGTAGAATGATGGTTGCCAGGGGCTAGGAGGAGGGGAGGACGAGGAGCTGTTGTTTAATAGGTAAAGAGTTTCAGTTTTGCACGATGAAAAGAGTTCTGGAGATCTGTTGTGCAACAGTGTGCATGTACTTAATACTGCTGAGCTCTACACTTAAAAGTGGTTATTATGGTAAACTTCACATCATGTATATTCTACCACAATTAAAAGACTAGAAATATGTAAGTTAAAATGAAAGTGAAATCATCTTTTTCAGACATACAAAAGCTGAAAGAATTTATCATCATCAGACCTGCACTCTGAGAAATGTTACAGTCCTTCAGGCAGAAGGAAAAGGATGCCAGGTAGACATCTGGACCTATACAAAGGGATGATCAGCACTGGAAATAACATGGGTAAATGTAAAAATAAAAAATAAAGATGTTTTTCTTGTTATTTAAAGCTCTTTATAAGCTAATTGGTAAAAATTATAACAACGGAGGATGAGGTAAAAAGTAAAACAGTATCACAAATAGGAGAGGAAAACTGGGCATATACTATTGTAAGATTTTTATACTATATGCGGAGTGGTATTATATCACTTGAAGGCAAATAAAGATATATATCACAAACTCTAAAACAACCACAAAAATACACAGCAAAGAATTAGATATATATAAGGTAGCAAAGGAGATATTAGAAATATTAAATTAATCCAAAAGGAGCACTTAGGGGAAATTATAGCACTAAGTGTCTATATTAGAAAATAAGAAAGGTCTTGAATCAATGACCCCAGATTCTACCTTAAGAAAGTATAAGAAGAGAGCAAATTAAACTCAATGTAAGTAGACGAAAGAAAGTGATAAAGATAAGAGGAGAAATCAAACACACAGATCGATGGAACAGAACAGAGAGCCTAGAAATAAATCTACACACTTACGGTCAGTTAATCTGTGACAAAGGAGGCAAGAATATGCAAAGGAGAAAAAACAGTCTCTTCAATAAGTGGTGCTGGGAAAACTGGAAAGCTACATGTAAAAGAATGAAATTAAAAAACTTTCTCACATCATATACAAAAATAAACTCGAAATATATTAAAGACCTAAATGTCAGACATGACACCATGAAACTCTTAGAAGAAAACATAGGGAGAACACTGTTTGGCATAAATCATAGCAATAATTTTTTGGATCTGTCTCCTAAGGCAAAGAAAACAAAAGCAAAAATAAACAAATAGGACCTAATTAAACTTAAAAGCCTTTGCACAGCAAAGGAAACCATCGACAAAACAAAAAGACAACCTACTGATTGGGAGAAAATATTTGCAAATGATATGACCGATAAGGGATTAATGTCCAAAATATGTAAACAGCTCATACAATTGAATATAAAAAAATAAGCAACCTGTCTAAAAAATAAGCAGAAGTCCTGAATAGACATTCTCCAAAGAGGACATATGATGGCCAACAGGCACACGAAAAGATGGTCAAGATCATTAATCATCAGAGAAATGCAAATCAAAACCACAATGAGATATCACCTCACACCTGTCAGGATGGCTACCATCAAAAAGAACAGAAGTAACAAATGTTGGGGAGGATGTGTAGGAAAGGGAGCCCCTGTACCTTGGTGGTGACAATGTAAACTGATGCACCCTCTCTGGAAAACAATAGAGAGGCTCCTCAAAAGACTAAAAATAGTACTACCATGTGATCCAGCAGTTCCACCCGGGGTATATATCCAAAGGAAACAAAACCACTAATTCGAAAAGAAACAAGCACCTCAATGTTAACAGCAACATTACTGACAACAGCCAAGATAGTGAAACAATCTAAATGTCCATCAACAGATGAATGGATAAAGAAGGTGTGGACTATACAGATACAATAATAAACATATATAATGGAATGTCTTCAGCCATAAAAATAGAGTGGAATTTTGTCATTTGCAAAAGCATGGATGGACCTGAAGGGTATTATGCTTAGTGAGATCAGTCAGAGTAAGACAAATGTTGTATATTATCACTCATATGTGGAATCTAAAAAATAAAACAAACTAGTGAATGTAATGAGAAAAGGGCAAAAGATTTGGACACCTTACAAAAGAAGATATAAGGATGCTAAATAAGCATATGAAAAGACAGTCAACATCGTTTGTTATTAGAGAAATGAAAGTTAAAACCACAATGAGATGCCACTACGTACCTGTTGGAATGACTGAAATGAAAAACTTATTGTCAATACCAAGTGCTGGCAAGGATGTGGAGGAACTGGAATTCTCATACACTATCAGTGGGAATATAAAATGGAACATACACTCTGGAAAAAAAAGTTTGCCAGTTTCTTAAAAAGTTAAAATGGTATTTACTCAAGACAAATGAAATCATAAGTCCATACAAAGTCTTGTACACAAATGTTTATATGTTCTTATTCATAATTGCCCTGAACTACAAACTATATGTTCTTCAACGGGCAAGTGAATAAACTATGGTACATTCATGCCATGGCATACTAAGCAGTAAAGAACGAACTATCAAAACACATACACGTGGATGAATCCTAAAGATACTAGGCTGAGCAAAATAAGCCAGGCCAAAAAAAAGATTATTTATGGTATGATCCCATTTATGTAAAATTCTAGAAAATGCCAACTAATATATAGAGACAGCAAATCAGCGCCTTGTGAGGGCGAAGGGTGATACCGGAAGGGGCAGGAGGCAGGGATCAGGAGGAAACTTTTGGGGGTGGTACATGAGGTCATGAATTCAATTATGGTGATGGTTTCACGGGATATACATACATCAAAACTTTTCAAATTATATACTTCAAACATGTGCAGTTTATCATATGTCAGTTATACCTCAAGAAAGCTATTAAATAAACGCTTAACACAGTGTCTAATGTTTGAAGAAGAAGTTTGCTGTTTGTCTTCCATCCTGGCTTAAACTGCGTCTGACAGTTTCTGAACCTGAGCTCAAAGTGAAGTATGGTGATAGGTGCTAATGTGTAATCTCGTACTGTTATGTAGTAGGCTAATTGATTCATCAATGGTGATTTAGTTTCTCCCACTAAAGTGCAAAATCCTCAAGCGCAGGCCTCATATCTTACACTTTTTTGTGACCTCCCTCTGTGTCTGGTAACAGACATAAAAGTGTAACAAATACCTTTTTGATTAACCAAGTGCCTTTTGGGTCCCTTGACAAATTTGGAAGGAGGGGGGCTCGAGACAGAAAATGAAGTATGATTTTTCTCTATTTTTGTAGTGTAGAAGACAGGGAGAAAAACCATAGCACAAAGCCACCTCAAGACACCAACAATATTCTTTGTGCTACAACAATCTGAAATATTAATATGAATTTGCCTGTCCCAGAGTTAAATTAGCTGCTGGTTGAAGGGTGGTGAAGACATACCAAGGTGACAGGACTGTCAGACTGCAATTCAGCTTCATTTCATTCCATGCCTCTTCATTTTGACCAATAAAGTGGTTCTGACCAGAAGAACTCAAGGAGTGCTTGGCAAATAACGTCCTTTAACTAAACATCCTCAATGAGCAGGTGCTCCAGTTGTGACTGTAATCACATTTTTCTCCACATTCCCCCAAAAGGGTGGTAGTTCTGTCTCTACTTGCTGAAAAGTGCAAGAGATCGAAATTGAACCACCACGATAACCTGGGAGAGCTGCCTCTCACAGGAGAGTAAAGGGCTGATGTTACTCAGTATAGTGGTGGGTAAAGTTGATTATCTTTGATTTCCGCCGTGGGAACTCTCCACTGCCTGTAGAAATACGTCTGTTGTAGGAAATTATATTGCGCTGGCTTTGATTCTTGTAGATCATGTAGGCATAGGTGATGACAAAGAACATCCAGAAACAGTGCGTCAGTATACGGGACACCAAACCAAACCAGCGCATGATTCTGACCTCTCCAATGTTAGAGGCGTCGTTGGTAAGGATTTGTATCACAACGTTTACAGTTTCATAGAAAAAGATCCAGATGATGTAGATCACCAAGCCCCTGTAAATCTGTGCATATACTGAGTATATGAGCAAACAGCTGATGATGATGGTGATGAAAGACAGAAAGAAGATGATAGTCCAACTCCAGCAGATGATTAACTGTTGTATGAGGATGTCTGTACTCTTGGTCTGCGAGGTAACCTCAGTGCAATTGCTTCCCTGTAAGTATTTCTGTTCAAAGATGAGGTACAAGCTGGTGGCCATGATGGTAAAGACCCCTGATAACATGGTGCCTATTTTGGCGGTCATCCCACACCAGTGCTGCTGTCTCATGCTGAGCCTCTCTGGGAAGACAAACAATATGTGGGAGAATTCTGGTTCCTGCCAATGATGAGGTAAATTACCAGGGTTTCTGCCTCCTTCCCCAAATTCACCTGGAAAAACAACAGACAGAAATATGGAAACCAGGCAGCAGCAGCTTTGGGGAGATGTGACACAACTGTTTAAAATTGATTGGGGATGTGAGTGGGGAGGAGGCTGGAAGTGGTCTGGGGTTGGAGGCAGTGAGCAGATAAATTAGAAAAGTGACTCTCAACTGAGGCTTCACTTTATAATCACTGAAAGTGCCCATGCCCACCCCCCACCCCACAGCAATCAGAACATTCTCTGGATTGGACCCAGATTATCAATATTTTTAAAAACTTTCTAGTGATTTTTATATGTAGCCAGTATTAGAAAACATTGAGTAGAAAAATTTAGTTTAAATTATGCTCTTATCTCTTAGCATCGCTTTGGGCAACCATTGCTGCCCCGATGGGGAAAATTGGCTGCATTTGTGCAGACCTTGTGTGCAAGTACCTCAGGAGAGAAACTGGGGTAGCACAATAGCCCTGCTGGGGTGAGGAGTTGATGAAGACAGCTGGGCTTTGAGCAATCACTCCTCCACTACACATCGAAACTTAAGGAATATAATGAAAGGTGTACTTTAAGGGAAATTTAGAATCAATAATGAGCTAAGCATTCAACTCAAGAAGTTAGGGGGAAAAAAAACCAACAATAAGAACAACAAAAATTGGAGGAAGAAAATAAAGAACAAAGAACAGAAATCAATAAAAAGGAAATAAAGTAGGGCCTCTGATTGCTAGGTTATGGGGGCCAACTTGCTGCTTAAAAAAAAACAAACCTAATATTGCTGGATAAAATAGTTTTTAAATATTCTTGAAAGCACAGAAGTTCTGACAAGGTAGGAGGTAGAAGACCAAAGACTACAGGAGTTCAGGAATTGGAACAGATAAGCAAGCATGAAAGTCAAATTTGCTCTGAGGGTATTTGCAGTTCTGGGAAAACTTGAACTTCATCATGAGAATTCTGTAGGGTAAGGAGGAATGAAATTAAAGCTCAGGGTCTACCAAGGTGAGGAGTCTATTACAAGGCTTTCTCTATATTAGTCGTGGCCCCCAAAAGGTTATGATTAGAGTAAAGGGGAATCACATGTAACCCTGCCCGCACATACTTCTCCTAAGAGACTCCAAAGGAAATTAACTCAGTACTGCACTGAGCATAAGGGGAAAAGAACTTTCCTTGAGACATTGTAACCACAGCTAACCTTTTTATAGATTTCTAGCCTAGATTACATGAATACTGAGAAAACTTTAAACACATAAATCTAGTTTAAAGTAGTCTGGAACTGGAAGTGTATCAAAGTGCGTGGCAGAAGCAAACTCAGATCCTCTCTGGAGGAATGCATCTTTATGATGGTCCTCAAAGAATCACCATCAGTCATTTCTCAGGGATAATGACTAGTACACACTAGAAAAAGAACAACTGAATATACAAGGAACAAGGCACTGTGAGAACCAGCAGAAATACAGACAGCAGAAAAAGAACTGCAAAAATACCACTTTTATAACTACTACATTTAAAAAATTATTTTATTTTTAATTGTGGTAAAATACACATAATATAAAATTTACCGTCTTAACCATTTTAAATGTACAGTTCAACAGTGTTAACTCTTTTCACATTGCTATGCAGTCAGTCTCCAGAACTTTTCATCTTGCAAAACTGAAGCTCTGTACCCATTAAACAACAACTCCCTATTTCCTATGTCCAGCCTCCAACAACCACAATTCTACTTTGTTTCTATGAATTCTACTACTCTGGATATGATACATATCTGGATATGGTGAATCCAGAATAGCAAAATGGAATAATACAGTTTTCATCTTTTTGTGACTGGCTTATTTTACTTAGCATAATGTTCTCAAGGACATTAGGTAGCATGTGTCAGAAGTTCCTTTGATTACTATATTTAAACAAATGAGATAATATTGTAAGTATATGTAGAAATAAGGAATCATAGAAAATAACCTAGTAAATTACTATATATAAATAGATAAATAATAAGTTTATACACTATAGGACAGGGAACTATATTCAATATCTTGTAGTAACTTATGGTTAAAAAGAATATGAAAATGAATGTATGTATGTTCCTTTATGACTGAAGTGTTGTGAGTACACCAGAAATTGACACAACATTGCAAACTGACTGTACGTCAATAAAAATACATTAAAAAATAAAAATACCAACCCCAAACCAAACCCCAACGCAGTGATTGATCCTTAATAAATTGTCATTCAATATAAAAAGAAAAGAACCTCGCAGATCTGAAAGAGAACCAAGTAGAATTTCTGGAGATGAAAAACTCAATACCTGAAATTTAAAATTGAGTGGGCATATTTGGTAGCAGATTAGACACGGATGAAGTGATAAGTAGTTAACCAGAACATAACTCAGTAGAAATTTTCCAGAAAGTAGTACAGAGGGACAAAAAGATGGAAAATATGGATGAGAAGTTTAGAGACATGAAGGCTATAATAAGATGCTATAGGGGAGAGGGTAGAGCGCATGCTTAGCATGCATGAGGTCCTAGGTTCAATCCCCAGTACCTTCTCTAAAAATAAATAAACCTAATTACCCTCCTACCAAAAAAAAAAAAAAGATGTTATGACTCAGAGAGAAAAAGAGAGAAAGGAGGGAGGGAGAGAAGATAGAGAATAGGGCAGCAAGTTTGAAGAGATTATAGCTGAGGATTTGCACAACAGAAGAAAAACAACAAACCACAAATTCAAGACCTCTGATTTCTAGTAGAATAAATAAAAGGAAATTATATCTACACATATGGTACTGTTGAACACCAAATAATAAGAGAAAATCTCAAAAATAGCCAAGGGTCTTTTTATTCATAAAAGCAATAGTTAGGCTTCTAAGGGAAACCAAAATCCAGAGGAATTATAAATGTGCTAAAATACAATTACTGTCAACCTAAGATTCTATACCAGCTAAAATATTTCTCAAGATTGAGTGCATATAGTATGATAACCTTTCTGTAAAATTCAAAAATAATGAAAATTAATTAATATATTGTTTGGCTTAAATATATATGTGGATAAAGTTTTATATAAAAAGTAAAGGAATAATTAATACAAAATTTGGGATAGTAGTGGTTACCTCTGAAGTACAGGGATTAAGGATAGGGAAGGGATGTATAGATGAATGTGAATTATAGTTAATTTCCTATTTCTTGGATTGAATGAGGATAGTCACAAATGATCAATATGGTATAAAAAGCAAATAAATTAGTAAATAAAAGTGGACCATGCATTGTGTTAATGACAACTGTTTTTTTATGACACAGGACTATAAGTAATCCAATTTGATACAACTGAATTCTCTAAGGAAAAACTAGGGTGGAAAAAGACAATTAATCTCATACCAAAGGTCCCTGTGGCATAATGGGCCCTGCTATATTTACTGCCTCCCACCTACCTGAAACATATAGCAGATTTCCTCTTTTTATTCTTTTTTTTAAAACATTTCTTTTATTGAGTAATAGTCATTTTACAATGTTGTGTCAAATTCCAGTGTAGAGCACAATTTTTCAGTTATACATGAACATACATATATTCATTTTCACATTTTTTTTTGCTGTGAGCTACCGCAAGATCTTGTATATATTTCCCTGTTCTATACAGTATAATCTTCTTTATCTAGTCTACTTTTTAAAATCTCAGTCTGTCCCTTCCCACCCCCCACCCACTTGGCAACCACAAGTTTGTATTCTATGTCTATGAGTCTGTTTCTGTTTTATATTTATGGGTTTTTTTGGTTTTTTTGTTTTTTAGATTCCACATATGAGTGATCTTATATGGTATTTTTCTTTCTCTTTCTGGCTTACTTCACTTAGAATGACACTCTCCAGGAACATCCATGTTGCTGCAAATGGCGTTATGTTGTCGGTTTTTATGGCTGAATAGTATTCCATTGTATAAATATACCACCTGTTCTTTATCCAATCATCTGTTGATGGACATCTAGGCTGTTTCCATGTCTTGGCTATTGTAAATAGTGCTGCCATGAACATTGGGGTGCAGGTGTCATTATGAAGTAGGGTTCCTTCTGGATACATGCCCAGGAGTGGAATTCCTGGGTCATATGATAAGTCTATTCCTAGTCTTTTGAGGAATCTCCATACCGTTTTCCACAGTGGCTTTCCTTGCTTCCCTCTCCCGCTCTTAATGATTTAGATGTCTTCTTTTACAATTTTGTGTTTATTCTATTTGTAATTCATGGTAGTTATCACCTTTCCAGTTACGAGTTTCTCATTTTTGTAGCATCTTGCTTCTTTTCTATTTAGAGTAGACTCCTCTTTTTATTCTTTAAAAATCTCATAAAATGTTTTGGTTCCCTTGGTCTATCTACGGCAAAGACTGTTCATTGTCTCCCAACATCAATTTCTCTCTCCTTGCTTTTCCTCCTTTCTGATTCTTGGCCGTGATCAGAGCTGATGGGAAGCCCTTGTTGAAAATGGGAAACACCTTCTAGGGCATGCATCACTGTTACTTGAGAGAGAAGTAAACTCCTATCACAAATAAGCCACTGCCTTTGGTGGTTCCTTCGTTACAGTCACTTAGCCTGTGCTGTAATATGTCTAATCTTCACTGAAGCTAAAGCCAATGAGGACCAGCCGTCCACTGCAGATCCAGTACCTCTCTTGACTTTGCCCTTTTAAAGAAACCAGCAGATCCTTTCTCTCTCTGTGCTTATCTCGCTGAGTCTATGGTTTTTACCATCTCCTTATAAAAAGATGTCTCCCTTTAATCTCAGGGCCACTATTGTCTTTATGTTTGATAATAAATCATATATTGTCTTGTGATATCTTTTACATTGTTTGAAATTGCTATTTTTTATATGTATAATAATCATCCTAATGGCTGCCAATGAGGACTTTAGGCTTGGAGAAATTAAGATTAATTTTGCCTAAAGCTGTACATCTGATCAGTGGCAAAATCAGGATTTGAACTCACATCTGTATGGCTCTGAAACCAATCTTAACACTCAACCCACTTGTGCCTTGTCTGCCTCAGAAATCTGTGAGCTCAGTGAGCCCAGAGACTCCATTTAACACACAGTTCCTAACAGGCCCTCGACTAGAAAAGAGCCTTGATTA